CAAGTAGGGACTCTTCTCTGGAAAGCCTCGATAAAAGACGCCGACGTCTCCTCTGATGATGAACACTAGTGTCGTGGTAGCAACATGCTATGTGTTTACATCCATCACTGCCATGTTTGTAATGACTTATCACAAGAACAAACATATTCACGCATGATTTTAATAGCATTTCTTACTTAATAGAAACAGCGCAGTTGTGAAACTGTGTTTTTCGACATTAACAGAATATCGACAAAGTTTTGCGCAGATTTGCAATGGAAACGCAGCTACTGATCCCAGCACAAAGTGCATTACAATAATCTAATCAGCTAGTAATAAAAGCATGTATTATTTACTCAAGGTCAGGTCTGGTCAATACTGGCATGAGTTTGGCTTTCTGTCATAACTGATTATTTTTTCCTGCAAAAAGAGTTGATCTGCTTGTTAAACTTCAAATCAGAATCTAAAATCATTCCCAGATTTACTTGAAATACAACTCGAGAGCCAAAAGTTACTGGAAGGATGCCAGCAGTAGAAGTAGGGCTAAACACAATAACTTCAATTTTTCTGTCAATATAACTTAAAAAATTTGCAGCCACCCAATCCTTMATGTCATCAAGACATTTGAATAACAGCTGGATGGAGCAGGCATTATTATAGGCTTCAAGGGCAGGTAGATCTGACACTTTTACTCTTAAAACGGCTGAAGGACACTGAAACTGTCATAAAGAAGCAGAGCATGGTATTTATGATGCATACCTCTGGTAACTGGATTTTCTTATATTATCAAGGTTCTTTATGTCATCATTGTTATCAATTTTATCTTTTTAACATTGTAGAATTTGTTTTGCTCAGGAATAAACAGTTTTTAAGCAACAACTTGGGTGGATATATTGTGTGTGCTCTACTTAGACCTGTTGTACATATCTGTAATGCAGGTTTGAACCAGATMTGGGCCGCATTTTGAAATTCGACTTACTGTAGCCTACTAGGGCGGACTTGGGCAAAAACCATCTAAAAATGAAATGAGGWTTCTGAATCTGGGCCRCATTTGGGCCAAATGCAGTAGTTTGGTAGCACATCTGGCCCACCTCCGGCCCAGATCCAATCCAGATCCGCAATCCACATCTGGGCCAGTTTTGACCCGTTGGACAAAAAGACACCGGGCGGGCCCATTTTACGGATGCGAGGCCCAGACAACTTTTGCTGTATGGGATAGGCAGCCTTACTAGAATGATGTGATTTTGAAATGTAACTGATTTCATTATGCTGTGAGTTGTTTTAATGAAGCACCCACTGCAGGGGGGGAGGGGGGTGTTTGTCTACATAAATAAAAAAATGAAAATAAAATATACCAGAGTTGTAAAGTAACTAAGTACAAATACTTCTTTAC